TCTTTTCAATATTTCCTGTATCTTCTGGTTTAAAAAATGTCATTGGGGGCCAGATCAAATGAGTAGGGAGGTGTTCCTATACAGTTATTTATACAGTTCTGACAGCAAAAGCGCACAGTGGCAAGTTTGCGAACTTAATTGTCAGCACTCAACAAGTAACAACAAGAGTTCTGATGGCCATTCCAGAAGAAGAGTTCCAGAATTGCTTTGACGGGGGGTGGACCAGGCACTGGCATCAGTGCTTAGCTTCCCAAGGGGAGTACTTCAAAGGTGGCCATAGTGATATTCAGTCATGAGATGTGTAGCACTTTTTCTAGGATAGCTCATGAACCTAACTGTTGGACCTCGTATCCAGTTGTTGACGGTGTTGTTGAGTTCAACAATGTTCTGACCTAGTTTCTGTTTGCTGGATCTGTTCATCTCTGATAGAGGGATGTTGAAATCTCCATCTAGCCTACTAGATTCATTTATTTCTCCTTTCGGTGTTATCAGTTTTTGCCTCACATATTTGGGCACTCTGTTGTTAAGTACATACATGTTGAGAATTGTTATGTTTTCTTGGAGAATTGATCCCTTTATCGTTACATAATGCTCCTCTTTATCCCTGATAACTTTCCTTGCTTTGAAGTCTGTGTTGTCTGAAAATAATATAAACTACTTCCACATTCTGTGATTAACGTATTATGTACCTTTCTCCATTTATTTACTTTTCATCTATATGTGCTTTTATATTTAGCGTGAGTTTCTTGTAGAAAATATATAATTGGGTCTGGTTTGTTTTGTTTTGTTTTGTTTTGCATCTTCTCTGTCATCCAGGCTGGGGTGCAGTGGTATGATCATGTCTCATTGCAGCCCTGACCTTCTGGGCTCAGAAGAGCCTTCCACGTCAGCTTCCTGAGTTACTGAGACCACAGACACACCACAATGCCTGGTTAGTTTTTTTTTTTTACTTTTTATTTTTTGTAGAGATGAAATCTCACTATGTTGTCTAGGCTGGTCTTGAACTCCTGGGCTCAACCAATCCTCCCACCTCAGTCTCCCAAAGTGCCAGGATTACAGGCATGAGATGCTGCACCTGGTAATTTTGGTTTTTGATGCACTCTGACAATCTTTGCCTTTCAATCAATGCATTTAGACTATTGAGGTTCAAAGTGATTATTGATATAGTTGAATTACTATCATATTTGTTACTATTTCCTATGTATTGCCCTTTACTCTTTTTCTGCTTTTTGTGATTTTCTTTTTTTTTTTTTTTTGGGTTGGAGTCTCACTCTGTCACCCAGGCTGGAGTGCAGTGGCACTCATATGGCTACCACAGTCATGACCTGCTGGACTCAGGCAATCCTGCCTCAGCCTCCCAAGTAGCTGGGACTACAAGTATTTGCTACTGTGCCTGCCTAATTATTATATTTTTTGCAGAGATGAGGTTTTCCCATGCTAGTCTTGAACTCCTGGGCTCAAGCAATCCTCCTGCCTTGGTCTCCCAACTGGCCGGGATTATAGGCATGAGCCACCATGCCTGGCCTCCAATTGCTATTATACATAGGCTGTTTGAAACTATACCATGGCTTTTTGATATTCTATTTTTTTTCCATTTTGGATAGTTTCAATTGCTATGTCTTAAAAATCTACCATAATTTTTATCTTGCTTCTATTATGTTTAATCAACCATCCTGTGCATTTTTTTTAAATGTCGGCAATTGTAGTTTTCATCTCCAGAAGCTTAATTTAGTTACTTTATCTATTTATTTATTTACTTACTAATTTTTGTAGAGATGAGGTCTCACTATGTTGCCCAGGCTGGTCTTTAACTCCTGAGCTCAAGCAATCCTCCCACCTCAGCCTCCCAAAATGGCATTCCAGACGTGAGCTGCCATGCCTGACCTATTTTTGTTTTTGTTTTTACCTTCTACGTCTCTAATGAATGTGCTCAATATTTCCAGTCGCTTCTTTTTTAAGTTTATTTTTTATTTCTATTGTTTGAATTAGAGTCTCACTCTGTCACCCAGGCTGGAGTACAGCAGTGAAATCACAGCTCACCAGAGCCTCGACCTTGTAGGCTCAGGTGATCCTTTCACCCCAACATCTTGAGTAGCTGAGACTATAGGTGTGCACCACCATGCCCTGATAATTTTCTGATTTTTTTTTTTTTTTTTGTAGAGGTAAGGTCTCCCTATGTGGCCCAGGCTGATCTTGAATTCCTGGGCTCAAGAAATCCTTCTACCTCGGCCTCCTAAAGTTTTTGGATTACGGGTATGAGCCATAGCACCTGGCCTCTAGTGGCTTCTTGATCATACGGAATACAGTTATAATTGTTTTAATGTGCTTTTCTGTGTCAGTTTTGACTATTTAAAATATTTTTATGAGTTATATTCCTGCATCTTTGCATATTTATAATTTTTGGATACCAGTCATCATGCATTGTGTCATGTTGGGTGCCGGGTATTTAAACAATACACACACATATATGTATTCTTGAATTTTGTTGTGGGATATGTTTAAGTTGCTTTAAATGTTATACTCTCAGTTCTTGCTTCTAAGGTTTTTTTTTAGGGAGTGTTTAATTTAGGGTTTTCTCCCCTAAGGATGCAAGACCCTTCCTAGTACTCTAACCCAGTATTTCTCGACCTCAGCACTGTTGCCATTCTGAGCTGGCTAATTGACTGTTATGCATTTAGGGTATGTAACAGCATCTCCAGCCTTACACACTGGATGCCAGTAATGCCCATCATCCCTGGTTGTGACAACCAAAAACATCTCTAGACATTGCCTAATGTTTTCTGGGGGGTGGGGAAGTAGCAAAATTGCCCTTGAGAGCCATCACTCTGATGCCCTGTGAATTCGGTTTTCTATTCTAGCTGATGATTCCAATTCTGGCCCTTTTTGAGAACCAGTGATTTTCACCTCTAATCTAGTCTAATTTCAAATGGTTCTTTCCCCAGCCTCAGGTAATTCATTACAAACATGTGCTCATAAGTACTCAGCTGAATATGCAAGAAGGACTCTGCACGTCTCCAGTGTTCTTTCTCTCTCCTGAGGATACAAGACCCTTCCTAGTACTGCAACCCAGCATTTCTTGACCTCAGATCTTCAATTGTCTCCTTTCTGGTACTCTGCCCTGCAAAAGCTAGCCACCTTGGCCTCCCAGCATGCCTTGCTCCATCTTCTTAAGGAGACTGCTTGTCTCTGCCTGAGCTCCCGCTTCCTAAGCTGTGGCCTAGAAGCTATCTCCAGGTAGTAAACTGGGGCAGTCCACGTTTACTTCACTATACTTTTTTTTTTTTAATCTCTTGAGGATCCCACCTTTCCCAACCTTTGCCTCTGATTTTATTTGTTTGGGTTGGTTAGATATGGTCCCTGTCCTCCACCTTGGCCTGAAGGTTTTTGTGTGTTTGTGAGTGATAAAAACAGCATATTTTTAAGTTAATTAGAAAAATCCAGAAGAGGGAAAAACTGACAGTGCATGAGAAGTGAGGATTATTGTGGTGTCTTTGAGAAGATAGCATGGATCCATGGGGAGGTTAGTCTTAGCCAAAAGCAGAGTTGATCTAAAGAGGAAAGAAGGAAGTCGTAAGATTAACAAACCAACATATGGACATAGGTTTTTTGCTTTTTAATATATATTTCAGACCAGGCGCAGTGGCTTATACCTGTAATCCCAGCACTTTGGGAGGCCAAGGTGGGTGCTTGGGCCCAGGGGTTCGAGACCAGCCTGGGCAGCATAGTAAGACCTTGTCTCTATTAAATAAAAATCAGAAAATATGTATTTCTATCGTAAATAATGATGTAATAAATAGATGGAAAGAGAGAATATCAAAATGTTAATGGGATAATAGGATTGTAGACTCATGGGTGAGTTTTTTGGGTGATTTTTATTTCTAAACTTTTCCTATTATTATCTTCCCAAGAAAATACGTAAAGAGACGTTTTAAGAATGTAAACTCGATGGATTTTGTTTTGTTCGACTCTGTTCTCAGTACTTCGTCATGCCACCCGTTTGCCCAAAACTTCTGTCTCCCATCACATTCAGAGTCATAAAATCGGGTCTCATGATCTGGCTCTGCCTGCCACCCTCACCCCATTGATCTCTCTGGCCTCACCCACTACCTCCCCTGGTGTTCATTCTGCTTCAAATACACTGGCCTCCTTGTTTTCTGGATCAGGCATCGCTCCCACACTTAGTTCTTCGCAACTGCTATTTCCATGCCTGGAACTCTCTTCCTTCAGTCTCATGGCTTGACTTCCTTATACTCATCCATATTCTCAATTGTCTTTCTCAGTGAAACCTTCCCTGGCTAACCTATCTAAATTGCAATGTCTTTCCTTTTTTGACATTCTGTATCATTTCCCTGATTTTCTCTCTAATCACCATTTATGACATACAATATGCTTTAAAAAAAAAAAAAAAGCTATTTACTGATTGTCCACTGCCATGTAGTTCTTTTCTTTCACACAACCCACACAATATACGCGAACCCCAGAACAGCGCCTGGCCCATAGCAGGCACTAAATACTTGAGTAAAATCTTGCATTATGTTTGGCTTAATGTTCAAAGACATCCTTTACTGCACACTGGGAGATAGTCTAATCAAAAGTGCCAGGCGACACCAAACACTGCTCCATTTCCACCCTAGAAGAGCCCACAGGGTGAAGCTCCTCAGGTCTTAGGCCTCAGCAACTCCGAGTCCACAGGCCTGAGAATAAAAATCCCAGAGAACCTTGTGGGAGGATGAAGGTCATTGGGAGGGACTCCAAGGGTTACATACAGGGTATGCTTGAGGGAAATGTCCTAAGAGCAGTGGGAGGAGGGGGGGATACAGCAGGGACTCTGCAGTGTAATCCCTGGTCTCAAAGTCCCGAGTTAATGAATCTGAGGAAGGATGGGACAAGAACTGCCAAAAAGGCAATTTTCCAATGTCCAGTTACTATTGGAATATAGAGTGTGTGTGTGTGTTTGTAGGGAGTGAAGGAGCCAATGGCGAGGGTTGACAAAGGCCAAATCATGGAAGGCCATGCTAATTTTATTAACTTATATAGTGCATAAAGTATAAGTCTAGAATTTAAAATTACAAAGGTTTTCTACAAATCATTAAGAAAATACAAATACCTATATGAATTAGGACAGAAAGCCAATTCAATGATCTTAAACAAGAAAGGGACTTTATTGGCTCACAAAACTTTAAAGTCCGGAGGTAGGGCAGGCGTTAGGCACAGTTGGATCTAGGGCCTCCCGAAAAATGACATCAGAACTGAGTTCTTCTTCCATTTCTGCTAGCCTCCGAGTTCTCCTCAGATTATTTCCACGTGGTACAAATTCAGGCCTACATGGTCCTTAGTTCCTGGTTATCTCCATAAAGCCTTCTTTCCAGTAGTTCCAGCAGCAATTCTGTTGAAGGCTCTCCTTAGCCTGGCTTAAATTATATGCCCATTCTTTAATCGCTGTGGCTAGGGAATTGAGGGACTCAGGAGGCCAGGCCTGGTCATGTGCTCACCTAAGCCACAAGCAATAGGTTCCCCACAAATAAATAAGGGTTCTGTTAGAAGATGGCAACAGAGATGCTGAACAAACAGAGCAAGATATCCGCACATAACCCAATAGAAAAGCAGGTAAAGAATACAGTCAATCCACGGTAAAACTATAAATGGCCAATAAACATATGAAAAGAACCAACCTCATCATTTTTGATAATCAGGGAAATGCAAAATAAGAAAGGATTCTTCTTAGCCTAACAGATAAAAATTATCACAGAGAGGTAAGTCTATATGGGGAAATGAACACTTGCCATACAGTTGGTGAAAACATAGCTATGAAGGCCTTTGGGAAGGGTGAAGGTGAGTCTATCAGAGAGCAATTCCTATGACCCAACAATCCCATCTTACTGGACTTCAGCCTGCAGAAATATTCACACATATGCACAAAGACATCTGAATAAGATGTTTACTTTGGCAATGCAATAGCAGGAGAAAAAAAATGAGGGAATAGTTAAATAATGGTGTGTATAATTTTTTAATCCTATTCAACCATTAAATAAATTTAAAGACCTCAATTAACTGTTTTCAGGACCAAAATTTTTAAAAAGCAAGCTACAAAACAATACATATGAGCTCCTATTTATGTAAAAATGGTGCTTTTATGTGCATGTATACTCATATGGAAATGTATGGGAAGGGGACTAGAAGAATGTATGTTAAACTGTGGGAAGTGGAATATGATCAAAAGCATAGGAGAAAAGGGTCTGTCTTTACTCTTAGCATTGTGAATCGTTTAAGTTTATACCGAGAGAGGGTAGGCATTTATACCTTCATAATTAAAAATGAAAAATGGGCAAAAGCCATTTGCAACAGGAAATGCAAATGGTCAATACACATGAAAAGATATTCCTATTCATATTCAAAGAAAAAACAAATTCTGCCTTATCAGAGTGGCAAAAATTTTTAAGGATTCAGGTTGGCAGGAGTGTAGGCAAACAGACACTCGATTGATGGAGTTGTAAATTGGTACAATTTTTTTGGTAGTACTTCTCAAAATGTCAAATAAGTATTCTCTGACCCAATAAAGAAATTTCTAGCTATGTATCCTACAGAAATAACCACACAGGTAGCAAAATATATGTACAGGAATGTATACTTTTATCTGTAATGAACCTAATTAACAATCAACACAGGGTTAAATAAGCTGTAGTATATTCATGCAATGGAATAGTATGTTGTTATGAAAAAGAATGTTTCCATCAATTTGGGGGACAGGGGAGGTCTCAGTGTAGTACCTGTGAAATGGGGTGATGTCCTGCTTTATATGGTTTCTGAGGACTAATCCACAATATAGCACCTCAAACAGTGCCTGTCCACAGTAACCACAGGTGTCAGCTACTAAAGCATTTTTTAATAAAATATGTATATGCCAAAAGGAAATGTCCTTTTTCATTTTACATTTCTGTAAAAACCAATAGCTTACATGTTTGTTATCAATAAAAGCATGAAGTGTATCAATGTTTAATAGCCATCATTCATGGCATAATGACTATCTCCCTGGAGGCCACAGAACCAGATTTGAATTTTAGCTCTATTTGGCCACATGAGTCACATGATCTCTGAATCTTGCTTTCCCAATGTAACTGGGATAGGAATAGTATTTCATCCAATGCCTGGCACGCAGCTTATACATGTAAACCTTCCTCCAGTTTACACAAACGTGAGACATTGCTGAAGATCAAGCATCAATTGGGTGCAAAGGTAGAGAGCTTTAACCTCCAAGAAAACAAGAAGAAAAAAACAACAGCAAATGCTCAGTGGCTAGTGGTCGGGTAGCAGTAACCTGCATGCCTTAAAATGACAGCTCATTTGCTAACCAGAGGTCCTTGCTCTGCCACTGCTTGGTAATGCCACATTACCATTTCTTCAGAGGCTGGGCACCCCCCCCAAAAATTGCTAATTATCTGGTTAGGTATTAGTGAATGTATGGATGAAATTAAAAAGCACTAGTTATTTAAAATTAATATGTCTACTGGGGACTAAGCCTAACCAAAGACGACAAGTACACATCCCACCACTTCCTCATCCTGCATATCAGCCAGGTGTTTTGGTCCAGTCCTTTTTCCCCACAGAGCCTTGCCTTAGCCTCAGAATCCTTTCCAAACAAAGCACAGGTGTTAGAGCTTGCAAGACAAAAAAACTTATTTGCCAATGCTACTACTACTTTTTCTACGCTCTCACATTACCAATTATCTTTGGCATTTAAGGCAAACCTACCACAGGGAAGCTTCTTTGTATACAGGAAAGATTTAAGACCTTAAGAGGCATGACATTTCAGCCACTTAGAGGTTGCTCCCTCTTACCTACTCTGATACAAGAATTCTGTCATCCCAGCAGTCTTCCAAATATGTCACCTCAAAAGCTACTTGTAAAGAAGCCAGTTATAAATAAATAAATCAATTAACTCAAGATCATTTCACCTTAGAGCAGAGGAGTTTATAGCTTTATTGGACATTGACTTGTTTCCTCTCATCCACAAAAAGACCCCAACAAAAGTCCCTACATTTTCTTGTATAACTTAAAATACATTATATCATTACTACATATTTATACTTCAATAAATCTTAATCTATAAAGCACATTTCTTATTGTTATCAGAAAACCTATAAACAAGCTCTAATCTGCCTCACTTCTCCACCAGATGGCCTTGCATTTATTAGTATGCTTTTTAATAGGCTCATGCAAATCTCACTTTCCATTTTTTGTTTTGATCCGAGCACCAGATATAACCAAAATCTCTTAACTGAAATATTTGTATTCACATGGGTCATTTTCCACACAGTGATGCCCATTATAAAAAAGCCTTTTCTCATATTCTGTATTCTAACTTCCAGAGTTTTCCACTAAACAGTAGAACCACAGTACTTGGGATTCTTAGCCAAGGAGTATATAATCCTACTACTACAATGTATTACTTTAATACATTTTTAAAAATGTGTTAAGACTGAAAATTAAAAAAATTCAATCAATTCTGATAGTTAATAAACTAGCTGTTAATAGTCTAGTTGTTTATTTTTTAAATAGAACAGTCCATTCAACTTAACATGTAGATACAACCTCAATGCTACTAGAGATTGATTTATTTTTTAAAAACTTTCAAGAACCTCCAAATTGTGGGAAGAGTATCTTGGACTCACCTCTGAAGAATGCTGGAGAGCCAGCTAGCTCTCTGAGTAGAGTCCTCTTCCCCCAACAAATACAACACCCTGCTAAGAGAACTATGGCTCTGGAAATCTCAGAGGTGAACGAACTCCCCCAGGAATGCTCAGGCGAGGGGAAGAGGCAACTCACCTGAAACAGCTCTGTACCAAACCCTAATGACTTACAGTGGAAGAAAGACCAACCTACCTACGGTAGGCTTACAGTACCTAGCACAGTGCCTTGTCGGTAGAAAATGTTTAATAATAAATGCATGGCTGCTTTTTTAGCCTGGTGTTCAACCCTTTTGTACCAAAGGAATAAAAAATAGCTAACATGATATTTACTGCCCACCTGTCACAGAATTTCCTGTCCTTAAAAAAGATGAAGGCAAAATAATGACACATTAGATCTTCCAAGTCTCTTTTCTTAAAAGCTGACAGACCATTATCTTATGTTTACATTTGCCCTTTAACGTGCCTTTCACTACAAATTCTTCCCTAGTGTTATAACTTCTACTTTCATAGTTTTATAATTGTGTTTTAGACTGTCTACCTTTTAATGACAGATGGGAGCACATTTTCATTAGTAAGATGACTCAAAATTATAGATAGGATGAGTGGTTTTTAGTTTCCCTGCAAGCAGATGACTGCATTTAGATAAATTGATATACTTCAATTCTTTGATCCAGGTATTTATAAATCTCCCCCAATCTGGATGTTCCATTCACTTTTTGATATTTTACCACCATCACTTCCTATCTGAGATCTTAGGGCTCATTTTACTTTGAGGCTTGTAGCCATCCTTTATCTTCTATTTTCTCAAATGCATATTCAAATGAGGGAAAAGTAAACCAGGGTACATTTTAAAAGATGTTTTTAAAATGCTTGAAGACGGTTTTCAGACATTCTAATTCCTGTTGCTTTTTAACGTAGAAGGGAATGTATCCTTATAAAGAACATTTCAATGATCAACACAGAAATAATGTATTTGTCTAAAAAAGAAAACTTTTAAGAAAGGGACAAAGAACCACGTAATTCATTACTTGGAAAAGTAATAGAGAATATATATAAACATCACATGGAAAATTTAGTTATTAACACCTGAATTAACTTTAAAATTTCAGTTTCTAGGCAGGTACGACACCATTTCTTTCAAGAGAAAATAATAATGGCGAGTGAAGACTTTTTACATTTCCCAGTGGATTTTTTTACAGTCAATAGGGAAAAAACTATTCTGTATCATTTCATATTTTTAATTTTGTCTTCATTTCTGAAGAAAAAGACCTGAGTGCTGATTCTTTTTTTTTTTTTTCCAATTCCTTAAACTTTCACAACATTCAGAAGTTTTTCTGCATTGTGTCTTCTCTGATGTCTAAAGAGATTTGAGCTTTGACTATAGGATTTCCCACACTGAACGCATTCATAAGGTTTCTCCCCAGTATGGATTCTCTGATGATTAATAAGCCCTGAATTCTGGCTAAAGGCTTTACCGCATTCAAGACATTTGTAAGGTTTTTCTCCAGTATGAACTCTCTGGTGTTGCACAAGGATGGAACTTCGGCTGAATGCTTTCCCACACTCAACACATCCATAAGGTTTCTCCCCACTGTGGATTCTTTGATGAAGAATAAGGGCTGAGCCCTGACTGAAGTGTTTTCCACATTCATCACAAATATGCTGTTTCTTTCGAGAGGGATTTCTCTTTCTTTCAAATCTGCCCTTGGGAAAACAGGCTTCTCCATATTTAAACATTTGAGGAACACCTATATTGAGAGTACCAGGAACTTCATGAGATTCCACTGCCGATGGAATTTCCTGCTTTGGAGCTAGTGCTCCATTTTCAGTCCTAGCATCATCATCTGAAATAAACAGAAATTGTAAATATCACTACTTATTCAAGGAAAAAGAAGACTGAAGAAAAAAAATTTTTTAATGAACTAAAAGTAACCAGCTGGCACCCATCTATAAACAGCACTCTGAAAATTGGTGTTAAGGTTACCCACACTCAAAAGAGAAAAAAGTGAAATGATGTAAAGGAGCATAACATAATGACATAAAAGATTATGTCTAGATAAAACATAGGCAAGTGGGTTATACATGGTAGTCACAAAACAAAGGGCAGAAAGAAGGTAGATTTTAAGATGATTAGGGAGATAAAGTAATACGGTAAAGTCTAGATAAAACTTTGTAAAAAGAAAAATAAAATAAAATTAGCCATTAGGAAATCACTGTAATGTTTTTGTTGTTTAAGAACTTTCTCTTTTGCTTTGAGAAAAGGATAAATTATATCACAACACAAAGGTGTAAATAAAAAAATCTGTCAGAAAGTGTCTATTTCTGAAATAAGCAAGACAAGGCAGGTCATAATCAAGATTAGACTAAAAGCAGAACACAGAAGTGCTAACAAGAAAGGGCGGAAGGTAAGCTGAGGGCATCCTGTGTTAACCCAAGACATGACACGCAAAACTTCAATAATTTTTTAATTTTTTAATTAAGTTTTCCAACATAAGAAGCTTTCCATGTTTGGTACTTATAATGGAACTTAAAAATGATTATTTCTAAGCCTCAGTGAGACATGTTGGGTGAAATAAAAGCCTAAATTACCAACATAAGGTATCATCACCTACCTGCAGGCAAAGGTAAGAGCAAAGTGTCATTTAAGACTTTCTTGCAATTGTATATCTTGAAGAGTAAAGGTACAGTTCATATAGAGTAAACAACAGCACTTAGCAAAGAGGCAAATAGTAAATAATTAACACATGCATAAAGCTAGGAGCTAAGGCTGAGAGAGACCAAAAAGTTAGAGGGGAGTAGTGAGTCCTAGAGACTTGAAAAACAGAGGAGTGAGTGTGAAAATCAAATAGAGAAAAACGGTATAGAAGAAATGAAAAGTTCCAGAGTGTGGATGAGACTAGACTGCTGAAATGAGGTTATTTAAAAATAGGTGAAAATTATTTCAAAATTCAGACAGAAGAGTTTTCTACCCAAGAAAATACCACCTCCGGGTATAAAGGATAGTGGTTCTCAAACTTTACTGTATAGAAGAATGTCCCATGAAATATGTAAAACTACAGATTTTCAGCAGACATCAGCCCCACTCCGGCAGTTCTGATTCACTAACAATACCCCCGCGGATGGAAAGAAAAACCTGCTCAGGCCTTACTCTGTGGCACATCATGTTATCTCCAACTACCTCCAGGAATAATTACCAAACAGGATCCAAACAAATGTCATTTTAATTCACATACATATAAAAAAGAAACCTAGTAGTTTTAGGAATATACCAGGCTACAGGAGGCTGAGGCTGCTGTGAGCCACAATCACACCTCTGCACTTCAGCCTGGGTGACAGAGCAACATCACCCTGTCTCTTAAATAAATAAATAAATAAATACATAAATAAGGAATATACTGGGCTACATCAAAGTTACACATAAGTATATGGTGTTAATTACCAATGTATAGGGAAAGACTGGTATAAGTGAACTAACATAATTTGAGCTTTTTAATTTTCCTACATTTAAAACATATAGCTTGGGAACCTACTTTTGTACAAATACTTAGAAAAAGTAAAGAATTTACTGCAAATTATCATTTCTAAAAAAGAAGCTTCTTAGAAAAAAAAGATTCCAGGTAGGAGGTTGAAGAAAAACAGAAATATTTATAAATACTTCAGTGACAGACAACAAAAAGAGATTCTAAGTAGGTTCAGGCAAGCTTATTGTACCAAAATAACTGGCAGGAGATAGAAAGCAGGAGGATATAAACATGACAAATAAGCAACACTGGATGCAAAATAAAGGGACCTGGCCCACTGGTAGGTGTTGGCTCAGAGTAAGGCAAATGCTAACCTGAAACGGGCAAAACTTCAGGAAGGAGGCCGAGAAGGGAAAAGGCTGAAGATGGTAAAGTCTAGGAATCAAAGATCTGAGGGCAGCAAATCAACTCTCACTAAAAACAAATCAAGATCTTGGAATGTGTCTATGTCTAAGGAATCAGAAGAAAGATCTCCAACCACTGGAGAGAACAAGCAGAGCTCTGGGTAGAGGGGCCACACCCTCTTTTCCCCTCAAGCCCACACTGAGCTCAGGTCCTCACCACAGTGCCTTAGGGAATGGAGCTCCCAGGACGCCCACTTGAGCTGGTTCTCCACAGCATCAAGCTCAGAGCTTGGTAACCCCTGAGCTTCTTCCTGAGACACGATCTCTTCTACTAGCACTTCCCGTTTTCGTCGACGGAGAGAAACCTGGAAACAGTGAGATGTGGTTCAGAAAGGGAAATCTGATGAGAATCAGAACAAAAAACACAAAAAAAGCCACACAGAACATATACTGCAGAGGCCTAGATGGCAAAGAGCACAGATAATGGGGAGCAGTAGGGGAAGGGGAGAAGGCAGACACATAAATCTGAGTTGAGTGGAATTCATTCAGCAGCATCTTTGCCCACTGCCATGCCAGTACTTCTGACCCACTAAGGTGATAAGCATGCTCACCGGCTGTCCAGGGTCATCAAGTTCACTCTCTAAATCCTCCAGCACCGTCACTGCCTCCTCTCCGTTCTCTGGATGATGGTCTCGAACCCAAGTCTGTAGCTCCTTGGGTAGGATGGCAACAAACTGCTCCAGCACTACAAGTTCCAAGATTTGTTCTTTTGTGTGTGTCTCTGGCCTAAGCCACAGACGGCAAAGTTCTCGGAGCTGGCTCACAGCTTCACGGGGCCCAGGTGAATCCTGGTATCCAAACTGCCTGAATCGCTGCCGGAAAACCTCTGGGTCAGGGAGATGATTCCACGGGATACTTGATCCCTCTTCACCATCAGGATCCTCCTCCAACTTCACCCTCAGAATCTTTTCCTCTTCATCTGGATTTGGGATGATAAGTATGGAATCTTCTTCCACGGACTGTGCAGACATCCTGATTTACAAATACTTCAAGAAAAGACAATCAAGGCAGAATATAAGCCTCAGGGAAATACCCTGCACAAAAAATAAAAAATATACAAATGACCAAATATTCTAAGAATTTGGACATATGCTGATAATGGAAGTAAAAGATTTGTTCTTTTACTGGATTAAAAATTCCAATCAATAACCTACATAGGCCAGGCACTGAGGCTCGCACCTATAATTCCAGCACTTTGGGAGGCCAAGGCAGGAGGATTGTCTGAGGCCAAGAGTTCGAGACCAGCCTGGAAAACATAGCCAGTTTCCATCTCTACAAAAAATAACAATAATCTACACTGAAAGTTGGCAAAGTACAGCTCATAGCCAAATCTAACCAGCCACCTATTTTTGTACAACACTTTCAACAAGAATAGTTTTCACATTTTTGAATGGCTGGGAAAAAAAAAATCAAATGAATACCTTATGATGTGGAAATGACATAAAATCAAAATGTCTACGTCTATAAATAATTGTATTCACTCATGAGTCATGCTACAATGGCAGAATCGAGTAATTTTGCAACAAAGACTAGATGGTCTGAAAACCCTAATACCGTCATGCAACACTTAACGATGTGGCAGCCAATGAAGACGCACATATACAACAGTGATCCCGTAAGATTACAACGGAACTGAAAAATTCCTATCACCTAGGGACATGGCGGCTGTCATAGTATAATACATTACTCATGTGTTTGTGGTGCTGCCAGTTGTATAAAACTGCAGCACATACAATTACATATGGTACATAATACTTGATAGTGGTAATAAATGACTATGTTGCTGGTCTATGTGTTTACTATACTTTTTATCATTACTTCAGAATGTACTCCTTTTACTGGTTTTCTTTTTTAAAGTTAACTGTGAAGAAGCCTCAGGCATATCCTTCAGTGTGTATTCCAGAAGACACTGTCATCATAGGAGATGATACCTACATGCATGTTATTTCCCCAGAAGACCTTCCAATGGGACAAGATGTGGAGGTGGAAGACAGTGATTTTGATAATTAGCCTAGGCCAATGTGTGTGTCTTAGTTTTTCACAAAAAAAGATTTAAAAGTAACAAAATCTGTAAAAGAGAAAAATCTTTCAGTATGATATAAACGTGTTTGTGCTTTAAGCTAAGTGTTATTACAAAAGAGACCAAAAGCTCAAAAATATTTAACAGCTGGCCAGGCATGGTGGCTCACATCTGTAATCCCAGCACTTTGGGAGGTTGAGGTGGGAGGACCACTTGAGCCCAGGAGTTTAAGACCAGCCTAGGCAACATAATGAGGCACCGTCTCTACAAAAAAAATAGAAAAATTAGCAAGGTGAGGTGGCACATGCCTATAGTCTCAGCTGAAGCAGAAGAATTGCCTGAGCCCAGGAGGCCAAGGCTGTGATGAGCCATGATCGGTCCATTGTACTCCAGTCTGGGTGAGAGTGAGACCCCGACTAAAAAAAAATTAAAAGTCTGTAAGTAAAACAGTTACAGTAAACTAAGGTTAATTTATTATTGAAAAATGGAAAATGTTTTCTTAATAAATTTATTGTAGCCTGAGTGTACAGTGTTTACACAATAGTGTACAGTAATGTCCTAGGTCTTCACATTCACTCACCACTCCATTACCAACTCACTAGAGCAACTTCCAGTCCTGCAAACTGTATTCATGGTAAATGCCCTGTACAGTTGTACCATTTTTTAGCTTTCATATGATGCTTTTACTGTACCTTTTCTATATTTAGATATACAAATATCATGTTGTTAAAACTGTCTGCAGTATTCAGTACAGTAGCATGCTGTACAGATTTGTGGCCTAGAAGCAAAAGGCTATACCATCCACGCTAGTTATGTGTGTAGTAGGCTACAGCATCCAGGGGTTTTTTTGTTTTGTTTTCTGTTTTTTCAGTGTCTCTCTCTGTCACCCAGGCTGGAGTGCAGTGGCAGGATCACCACAGCCTCGACTTGCTGGGCTCAGGTGATCCTTCCCCTTCAGCCTTCCAAGTGTGTGCCAAGTGTGTGCCTGGAAATACAGGCACACACCACCACCACCAGCTAATTTTTAAATTTTATCATAGAGGTGAGGTCTCGCCAAGCTGCCCCAGCTGGTCTCAAAGCTCTGGACTCAAAGCAATCTTTGCGCCTCCAGCTTTTAAAGTGCTGGAATTATAAGCACGAGCCACCATGCCCAGCCCAGCATCTAGGTTTAAGTATATTCTATGATGTTCACAAACTACAGACCTGCCTAACACGTTTCTCAGAAGGTAGCCCTATTGTTCAGTGATGCATGATCATACTTACTATATGGCCCTTTACAGAAAATATTTGCCTGTCTATGACTCTACCTCAATAAATAAAAAGAATCCAAGTAAAAACCAGCCCACTTCAGAGATTTCTAAATGTGCCTGACCCTGGAAGTCATTATTGGCAGTTAAAGATTGCTGTTCCCTCATGTACATCAACTTATGCACTTAAGTCAACTCAAAATTAAGGTTTGTTTTTTATTATCTGCTTTAAAAGTTTTTTCCTTGCAAGATTTTTTTTTTTTAATTTTTAAAATTTTTTTTAAATTTTTTGAGTTGGGGTCTTACTGTTGTTGCCCAGGCTGGAGTTCTCACGCTCATGGCCACCACAGCCTTGACCTGCTGGCCTTAGGTGATCCTTCCACCTCAGCCTTCCAAGTAACTGGATCTACAGACACACACCACAATGCCTGGCTAGTTTTTTGCGATTTACTGTAGAGATCTCACCAAGTTGCCCAGGCTGGTCTCGAGCCCCCGGGCTCAGGCAATCCTCTCACCTCGGCCTACCAAGTTGCTGGGATTACAGGATGAGCCACCGCGCCCAGCTAAAAAATAATATTTTAAAGATGTATGGGAACTCCTTAAACTTAAAACATGTGAACAAATATTCATGTGCTCAGTAACAAGTCACATCATATTGAAAAAAAATACATGTTAACACATCACATAGTATTGAAAAATCAAATATCATTTTGCATAACATGCAAATATCATTCAGTCATCGACCACACCATAAATACATTCATACTTATTATAGCAGACATCAATCACAGAAAATCCTATTAAGAAAAGGCACTTTCATGACCACCTTAACTTCTCACAGTGGCCCAGTATCTTGTCCTTACACTGGATGACTCAGTTTTCCCAGCTTCTACGACTTCAGGGAAACTTTGTGCTATTTCTGATCCTTTCCTTAGCATTTGCACTGTCATGCCCATGCCACTGTTTACAACACATATTAGGAAGGAGCCATGTCGCCACTTTATATTTATTCAGGGTCCAGAATCTGAACAACTTAAAAAAACAACTTACTGTAACCTGATCAAGATGAAGACTAGACTCAGAAAAGACCTCAGGACAGGTAATACATAACAGGTATGACTAAACACTCGGAAGTGCGGTGGCCCTATAAACAAGGTCCAACCAACAGATCCATTCGTTCCTATTCCAGGGCCCTGCCTTATCAACGGTTCAGGTATTTCTGCGTAAGAGACGCCTCTTCCCTTTACGTTACAGGACACACTGCTCATGGGACACGGCCGGCAGGGGGGGCAGGCCCGCGGTCCCATCAGCGTCTGGGCGGCATCCCTCGTCCCAGGAGACCGCCCCACCTCAGGCCTGCCGGGCCCTCTCCCTGGCACTCAGAGCGGCGGACTTCAGGTGACCCAAGGCCAACCTGCGGCCACTGCGTCGGAACCACAGCACTTCCGCCCGCGGCCGGCGGGACTACAAGTCCCAGCGGCCCCCGCGCAAGACCCGCCCCTGCCCCACCTCCGCCCCACCGATCTCCCAGAACCCCTCGCGAGACGCCAAGGCCTCGAAATAGAACAAAACCGGCTGAGGGGGGAGGGGGAAGCGAGGGTCGCGGAGGACGCGGGGAATGGCGGGCTCTCCGGGGATGCCGAGCAGGCCTCCCACCTACCTAGCCCGACCCCCAACCGCTGGGCGCGGAGACCACGGCCTGTCCCACCAGCGCCTCCTGGAAAACCGACAAAGGTCCGCGCCAGGCTTCCTCGCCGGCTCCTACGAAGAGGCACGCAGACCCTAGCTGGTGTCCCCCTCCCTCTCGCACGGTTCCCCCCACTCCGGCGCGAACCTCCAACTCGGGAACCGCAGCTGCTTCGCTGTGTCCACGGCAGACGCAGAAACGCCGCTCACAAGCCGTTTCCCAGAAGCCCCCGGCGCGGACTGCTTCCGGTCTGCGGGCCCGAGGAGGCGGGGCAGCAAAGCTCACGTTGCCATGGAGATGCGCTCCGGGCGGGGGAGGGACGGCCCAACGACAATGACCGCATTGAGGCTGCGCTTGGCCTCGCGCCTCTCCTCCAAGAGCCCAGCCTTCTCTGTTCCGTTTAAAAGAAAAGAAAATGGACTCTGCCATGAAGATAGTAGAGTCACAAGCCCTTTCACGTGAATTATCTCATGTGACCCTCACAGTAGTTCTCTGGAAGAAGTAATAAAAGCGAATATTTACGAAAACTTACTACGTCGTGCCAGGCACTGCCGTCGTGCTTTATATGCCATTTATTTTTCACAATGACCCTGCGATGTAGGAACTTTTGTTATACCCATTTCACAGCTGAGATCACTGAAGCACACGTACAGTACATAGCTTGCCAGGAATTCACAACTCAAGCGGGGAAACAAGATACGAAGCCAAGACGACTCAAGCCTTTGGCCCACACTGGTTAAGCCACAGAGCTCTGTTATGACCCGTTTGTCGGTTGGGGAAACAAGATGAGAGCTGTGCAGTGATGTAACAGTGAATTTGCAGAATGCATGGTCAACTTCCAACTTCAGGCTGGGTATTTTATAACATAAAAGAGTTACTGAAATGATCATTTCCAAATGGCCATCCAACCACTTCATTCCCCTGTTTAAAGTCCTCCAGTGCATGTTCACTACCTTAAGCATGGCTTAAAAACTCCTTACATTGGCCTGCAAGGCCCCTGTGGTCTGTTGCCCACCTCCAACCTCCGACCTCAGCTCTTAGGCTCATTGGGGCCTAGGATTCCCAGGGTCACTGCCTTTCCTCCTGGAAGCCCACTCACTCTTCATAGCACCATTCGAAGTGACCTCATTTATGTATTTACCTGTTGTTTTGTTTTGTCTGTAAATCCCATAAGGACAGAGACCTCAGTTGTCTTGTTTACCACAGTATCTCCACCTGTTCCCAGAATGCCGACTGCTTGGTACATAGAGAACTCAGTAAGTATTTGTTGAATAAATGAATGAATTGTGGGCTGGTCACATTGCTGCCTTTGCTAGATCACATGTCAAGCACCAGAAACCACACAACAGAGCCCTGTTGTTTAAGGTCTTGTCAGAAGTGTAGGTCTAGCCTCCCAGAAGCATTTCAAGATCCTCAGGCTTCGGGTTTTTGCCTCATTTATGAAAGTGTCCTCTGCAAAGTGCCCTGAACCCCTGCAGGATTCGTGAAAAAGCAAGTGAGGGAACAGCTGATAGTACAGCACTACTTTTCACTCTCATCACAGCCCCTTTTCTAGAACCCCTGTTAACACTGCTCCACTATAGGAGGCTTCAGAAATTCAGCCTCACACTCCCCAACTTGGCTACCGCCAGCAACCAGCTTGGCTGCTCTTCCCAGCCTTTTCCTCTTTTGTGACTCTCAAAGGCTAACTTAAGGCATTTTGTTTTGTTTGCTTTCCTTTAAGAGTTTTTATATATAACATTGGAAAAGAAAAATGATAAACATCAAAAAAAAACTTGAGGAAGTGAAAATGTTACAAAATTCAGCAAAACCCTTTGCCTGTGATTCCGTTCCACGATTCCTAATTCTTTCTGGGAGAGTAATTGGAAACCACAGAGAGGTTTTCCTCACTCAGTTACTCTTTTGAGGGCAGGCACCAACAACACCCACTTTGAAACACCATCCTTGTGAGCTCCACTATGGAGATTTTTTCATGAATGGTGGCCCTTGTTGCCATTTTAAAGATCTAGCCAAGACAGAACATCATGTTCCTCCAGGCAACCCAAATAAAGGACACAGCTCCCGGAAGTGCCTGACAACCTTGCCCAGACCCACGCCACAAAGTTTGAACCAGAGCTGATTTCAGTCTTGGCAGAACACCTTGTGATCTTTTTAGAACACGAGAGCATGCGGGGCTTTGAGCATCCGCTACAGGGACGTTTCCCAGTCGCAAGGCAGTCTCTCATTACTTCCCAGGTTCTGATGAGCCTTCCTGCTTCATGTACTTTGAGTGCACCTGCAGGTTATAACAAGGCTTAGCTGCAGCATGGCATTAGCACCACAATGTTCCACAGCTCATGTTAGACAGCTCATGTTGCAGTCCTCTGGCCCCTTTTGTTTTGGTGTCATCATTTTGGTGTGTGAGACAAAAGCTCCCAGGGAGTTGGCACTAGCTTTGGCTTTCACTGTCTATGTAAGTAACAATCTGTCAAAATCCAAAAGGGGCTCATTTCTTTGCCAGCTTAATCTTTCAGCCTTGCCTTGCCTTGATGTCAATTAATGGTAAAACAGGCTGGACACAGTGGCTCACACCTGTAATCCCAGCACTTTGGGAGGCCAAAGGGGCCAGGATCACTTGGGGCCAGGAGTTTGAAACTGAGCAGCATAGAGAGACCTTGTCTCTACAAAAATAAAAATAATTAGCCAGGCATGGTGGCATGTGCCTGTAGACCCAGCTACTTGGGCCACTGAGGTAAGAAGAATCACCAGAACCCAGGAGATCGAGGCTGCAGTGAGCCATGATCACATCACTGCACAACAGGGCAACAGAGTGAGTTCTCAATTTAAAAAAAGAAAGAAATGTATTGCATTCATTTAAGTTATCAAATGTATTGGCATAACAATATGTATTGGCATAAAATTGTTCATAATATTTTTTTAATATCTTTTTAATGTTTAATAATGATAAATGGGCTGCTCTCAGTGGCTCAGCCTGTAATCCCAGCACTTTGGGAGGCCGAGGTGAGTGGATTGCCTGAGCCCGTGGGTTCAAGACCAGCCTGGGCAACTTGCAAGACCTCATCTCTACAACAAAATAAAAATAGCCAGGCGAGGTAGCGCGCCTGTAGTTCTAGCTACTCAGAAGGCTGAGGCGGAAAGATTGCTGGAGCCCAGAAGATGGATGCTGAAGTGGCCCTGCGCGTGCGTGCCACTGCACTCCAGCCTGAGCAAAGGAGTGAGACTCCAACTCAAAACAATAATAAATAACTAAAAAATAATGATAAATGATATTCCTTGATATCTTCTTAATGTCTGTAGTGATGTCCTCTTTAAATTCCTGACAATGGTAATTTCTGGTTTCTTTTTTCTTAATCGAGACCTCAAGTTTTGCTTGAGGTTTATCAATTTTATTAACTTCCAAGGAATCAACTTTTGGCTTCATTTATTTGTTCTCTATTTATGGAGTTCTGCTCTTTCTAAAAATTAGTGTACAGTAAAATTGGCACTGTTGGGGGCCTATAGTTCTAAGAGTTTTAACACATGTATAGATTTGTAAAACTACCACATGATACAGAATAGTTCTATCATTCCACAAAACTCCATCATCCGATATCCCTAACCCATGGCAGCCACTAATTTGTCATCTACCCCAATAATTTTGTCCAGAATGTAGTAAAAATAGAGTCATAAAGTATGCAGTCTCTTAAGATTGGTTTCTTTCATTCATCATAATGCCTTTGAGATTCATCTATGTTTCTCATGTATCAATGGTCCATTCTAATTTATTGCTGAGTAGTATTCCATTTGTGTGTGTCATAGTTGGTTTATCCATTCAACCGCTGACATACTTTGGGGCTCTTTCTGGATTTGAGTTATAATGAACACAACTACTATAAACATCCAAGTTTTTATATGAACATAAGATTTTATTTCTCTAGAGTAAGTATCCAGAAGTGGGATTGGAGGGTCATATGGTAAGTACATGCTTAACTTTATCTATTTATTTTTTGAGTCAGGGTCTCACTCTGTCGTGCAGGCTGGAGTGCAGTGGCACAATCATAGCTCACCACAGCCTCGAACTCCTGGGCTCAAGTCATCTTCCTGCTTCAGTCTCCCGAGTAGCTAAAACTGCAGGTGTGTGCCACCACACTCAGCTAATTTTTTGACTTTTTGTAGAGATGATATTTCGCTATGTTGCCTAGGCTGGTCTCAAACTCCTGAACTCAAGCAATCCTCCTGCCTCGGCCTTTCAAAGTGCTGGGATTACAGGCATGAGCCACCACGCCCAGCCGACATGCTTAACTTTAAAGGAAACTGTTTTCCTCTGCGGCTGCATCATTTTGCAAGCAATGCATGAGTGCTTCAGATTCTCCACATCCTTAACAGCACTTGGCATTGTCTTTTGTTATTAAACTTTTCTTTTCTTTTTTTTTTTTTTTTTTTGAGTTGGAGTCTCACTCTGTTTTTCTGTTGAATTTTAGAAGTTCTATGTATATACTGGATACAAGTCTTTTGTCTAATTTGTGGTTTGCGGTTATTTATCTGAGTCTGTAGCTTATATTTTCTTCCCTTAATAGTGTATTTCACAGAGAAAAACTTGTTAATGTTGATGTTTATCATTTTTTTTACTGTTTTGGGTGTCATATCTAAAAATACCTAGTACCAGACCATGAAGACTCTCTGTTATGTTTTCCTCCAAGTTTGACAGTTTTATCTTTTATATTAGATACATGGCTTGGTTGGCATTAATTTTAGCATAAGGCATAAATTACAGGTTGAGGAGTTTTTTGCATATAGATGCCCAACTTGATGAAAAGTTTATTCTGTCTCCATTGAATTGCCTTTGTATTTTTATAAAAATTAATTGGTCTTGCCAGGCATGGTGGCTCATGTCTGTAATCCCAGCCTAGGCAACATAGTGATACTTTATCTCTACAAAAAATTAAAAAATTAGCCAGTCATAGTGGTGTGTGCTTGTGATGCCAGCTACTTGGAAGCCTGAGGCAGAAGAATCATCTGAGCCCAGGAGGTTGAGGCTGCAATGAGCTGATTGTGCCACTGCACTCCAGCCTGGGCAACAGTGAGAGCCGAGTCAAAAACAAACAAAATTAATTGGCCATGTTTCTAAAATCTGTAATCTCTTATATTGATCTCACATCCTTGATTATATAGCTTTATGATAATTGCCAAAAATCTAGTAGTTTGCATCCTTCAATTTTGTTCTTTTTATAAAAATTGTTTTATTCTAATCATTTAGAATTC